TCGCTGCCCACGCTCCTGCAAGAGCATCTTCCTTTCCCGAGGCTGGTCCACTTGCCCAGGGGAGAGAGGGTGATGTGGCCCGCCGGGGGGCACCGGAGGCTTTCTGGTGCCCGGGTTGTCGTTAGGGTCACCGCCTCCAACAGTAGCCGTCCTAGGCACGGCGAGCCCAGGCCAGGAGCTGGACGTAAGGATCCCGCCGGGGGTGTAAGCTCCATCCTCTTTGCTTCCCTATAAGGCCACGAATGCCACTTCTGAAATGAATTTGTGCCACTTGTCTCCTCTGCTTGCCGGAGAAGTTGGAGAATATTCCAAGGCTGAGGTTTCTTGCACGTTCATGTGTACCGCTGGCTGGTGCGTCCAGCTGGCTCCCTTATTTGTTCATTGTTATTTTCAAAAGAGGTAAGATCTGGGAAGATGGTGCTGTTGTGCTCTTCCTCCCCCCAGCCCCCACAAAAAAGGAAAGTATATGGAAATTGGTAAGTGAACCTTCACCACGTAATTATAAATACGAGCATTTCTCAATCATTTTTCATCCTAACTGCACTTGGCAAACATTGCCACCTGTTTCAGTACCTGTATTAAGTCTCTCAGATACATTTGTTAGCTTCATAACCTCCTGGAAATGCACAGCAAAATAGTGGTTGGAGCAGTTGGAATCACTGGGTCTCCATCTCTCACCACGTTGACTTACTTTACCCAGAGCTTCAGTGGTGCCTCCGGTGGTGCTAGTCCTGATTTGAAGAACCGGGCATATCTTTGAGCATGAATGATGGTGACTTCTCCAAGTTGTATGTATGTGCATGTGTTTGTGTGGTGTGTTGCTGGTTTTCCCACTAAGCCTGGCACTTCACACTCACAGGGGAAGGGGAGGCTTTTCTGCCATTATTGCTTACTTGATTTCTGTTAAATGATTATAAATTAGGTTTTAGGTATCATGTAGCTATCAGAGGCCTCTCTCATCCATAACGAATGCACTGTATGAATTCAGTTGAACTTCCAGCACTCTTATTAGAGCTGTCCTGTTTGCACACATTAATTCTCTCCCATTAGTTGATTCCTGCATTGCTGGGACTGGAAGTTGTTCCAGTATATGACCAATGTAGCTTCATGCTGCTGGGGTGATGCTTGTTTACATCCCATTTCTGTTTGCTGGGTAGAAGCACCAGAGCAAGTATCAGAGAAGTTCAGAGGAAAATTTTGAGTTGATTATTAGTCCCTTTGTGGTAGCTTCTCGATTAATGTTGATCTGGCCACCCTGTGGAACTTGTACCGGGACACAAATGGGTAAATGTCAAATAGACTACCTCTGACAGGGGTAGTATTTAGTGAATTATGTTGAACTAAATGTTTGTTTGAATAAATGTGTCCACTGTTGCATTAAAGGCAGCTATTTTCAACAGGTTTTGGCTTGTAGATTCACAAATTATTTTCACTGAAGGTACGGCCCCTTCGGTAGTTTATCTTACCTGTACTGTTATTCATAATATATTTGAACTTGCATTTTGTGGCAGCCTTTTGCTTACTCTTTAGAAATAGTCCACAGATCTCCAATGGCTTAGCGCAGGTAAAAAACAACAATTCCATGTAAAACACATAATTAGTATAATGAATTATTACTGTTGCCCTGATAGACCTTTCCAAAACAAATACAGCTCTGAAAAGTCCAGTTGTCTTCTCACTTTCACCACTGTCAGTCAGGAATAACTCTATGCAGTCTATGGTGTTATAATAACCAACAACTGATAATAAAAGTAGGAAGTCATATGTCTACTATTTTTTTTTCCTTTTAGCATTCCTTACAAAGTATGTCTAATAAAAATAAAATTATTTTATGTAGGGGAAGGAGAAGATGTACCATTTTTAGTCGGAATTCTAGAGCTCTTAAGGAAAGTAACTCAATATTTTCCCAAAAGATGTGAATACTGTGTAAATACAAATTAATTTTGTGGCTTGCACAGCATGACTACATCTTTAATGCTAAAGTTATGACTATTCTACAGTCAGTAATGTCAAAGCTAGAGGTACATAACATATAATTAACCTGTAACACTCTCTGTCATATTATATGACTAAGGATAATATTGTAGCATACTTCACAGAATACATTAGTCGTGTTATGCTAGTCCCTATTTTCTTACTCTGGTAAAATTTCTATTGTTGCCTAACTCGATTTTTCCTAAGCAGACGTATATATAATGATAGTTCAGCTAATGATATTATCTTCTGTTGCACGGCTGGAATGACATCAGAGGAGCTATCAGCCCTATGGTCTGTGAGATCTAAACTAATAGACATGATCTAGAATAACATCTCTGTCTGTGGTGTGGTACTCCAGAACACCCATATAACTCACAGAGTTTAAATTTTCCTTCCAGGGCATCAGACACTGGCAAAAGGCTCCTCAGTTGAGAAATGAGAACTTCTGTTATCCAAGTAAACTGATGTATACACATCCTTCTTAAATCACCCAGCTATTTTACGTGTTAACTATGGGTTATACTTATTTTTTAAATTTCCCATTACCCATAGGAAGTTTTATTACCAAATTGCTATTTTCCCGATGTTTTGTTAGCTTGCTTTACATATCCTTCTTTCATGTTGTTTCCTGGTGTTCTAGAAGCTCCAAAATAGTTCTTTTTTGGTCTTTTAAAAATATGCCCTTAAACACTAATTTACTTTTTCTTCTGAGTTAAGGCATTTCCCTTCATTCTAGTGTTGCTTCACTAACAATTTTTAACTGCCTCCTCCTTTCTATATCAATGGTAGTAGCAATAACAGCACCTTAAATTATGGTACTCAGTGGAGGCTGGCAGTCTAGCCTTAATTTAAATGTACAGAGAAGCTGTTAGTCTGTGGAGAGCTTCAAATACAGCCAAATTATGATGAGAACTTTCACACCAATTTTAAACAGATTTATTAACTTGAAGTTTGGTGGAATGCCCAGGAAACCATGCTGCCATTCTATTTAAAATCCAACTAATTTTTAAAATTAATGTTTGATCAGGTCAAGTCTATGTACAAAGCTGCCAACCTGATGAGTTGAAGAAGTAATCAATTTGAAGTAAATTGATATAATTATATGTCCTTGGTTACACTGAGGTATAAATAGAATAAATTCATTGATGTTAGGATTTGGTTCCATGTTGCTGATTTGGAACAAATCAGAAAGGAGCCTACAATGGAAAACTCATTCGTAATCTTAACTGTTGCATGCATGTACGTGTAATTTTGAGGTTTTTATTTGCTTTTTGTAACAATTTGAAGTATTTGCAGTAAAATATTGGAGGAAAATGTTAAATAAAAATTAATGGAAAAACGTTTCCTAATCTGCTCTAAAGTCAGATACTGGCATTTTTTGTATCCATGTTTTTATTCATGTAAGTGGTTGCCTCTCATCCTTTTTATGTTTTTCTGAAGTTTTTGTCTTCCACGTTCACTCATGATGCATTTCTCAGCACAGAGGAATATCGTCTGTGGCTATCAATTTCTTTCAACCATCTTTTGCATTTGTCCTGCAATTACTGAAATTCTGCAGGGTCACCAGTAACAAGCTACTGTTGTTTTGAAAATGCAAACTCCCCCTCACTGAATGGAAGATGCTTTGGGATACGTTTTTGTCCTTCATTTGTGACTCTTTAAGTGCTGTGGGGTTTTTTGAGGGATCACAGCTCTACTACTCGAGACAGAATGTTTTTCTTCTGTAATCACTTGGGCTCAGAGCGATGTGTGTCTGAATGTGCCTTGTTTATTCTGCAGGCTATGCTCCTCCTCCTCCTCCTGCAGCTCTAAAATGCCAAAATGGACCCATGGTCCTGCTGTGTAGATGGTGTAAGCAGATAGGTCATTCAGGACAACTCAGTATTGCTTGTTTTTTGTGGATGCAGCTTCCTGGCTACCCCTCAGTCTGTTGCTATGGTTAGGCAGGTTTTGGAAAACCAAACCAACGTGAGCCTATTGAGACTAGGTTTGTAGGGTCAAGCGCTGCCTTTTTTTAGGACAAGCTGATACAGTGGGAAAAAATGGACAAGCTTTCAAATATGTGAACCTTTTCTCAAGTCATATTTCTAAAACATCACGGCTACGAGAGCACTACACCTTGCTGCTGTGGCACAGCTATGTACTGTTTGTGAATCGGTAGTAAACGAGATTCTTTGGCTGAACTTCTGGCAGGAGGAACTTGAGTAGCTATAAAATAATGTGTCGCTCACTAAACACAGAAGAGTTAGAAAAATATGTCAGTGAAGTAATAGGGGTGAGGCTGAATGGATTGGACTTTAAAAACAAACACGTCTGTACAAACTGAGATGTTACTGGGTTCCTTGTGAAGTAAAATCTTGTATAAGGAGTGTTCAGGCTCCCTAATGAAGAAAACGTTACGGGTTTTTACACAGTTACGGGCCACCTAGCTGGAGTGATGTTCATTCGCAAGCTCAGAACTCTTCCAGGAAGAAAACTTCTTTGTGAACTGGAAATACTTTTAGAATATAGTATATTCAGGTACTTCAGTGGTACTCAAGTGAATTTGGACCAAACTCTTGTTTCACTTTTGCTAGTGAAAATGAGAAGTAACACTACTGAAATGAATGGAATCCTATCAATGGAAGTGAGGATAACCTAGTTCTTTGTGCTTATAAAAACAATAGAAAACTATTTGTTTGTTTGTTTATTATATGTATTTATTTACTATAAACAGTAAAAATCATCTCTTAAAAAGTGAATTTGTTTTTATCACACTTAGTTCTCAATGTTTTTGTGTGAAGTGCATTTCAAAATGCTGCAGTAATTTTTCAGCAGTGGTACCCTCACTAATATTCAAAGGAAACAAGTGCTGCCAGGTGTGAATGCTAGTGGCACATCTCTGTTCTCAAACACAGGTTCATAGCTCTACACGAAGCCTAAGTTGATGGGTCTGAGAGACAGCTCCTGTGCCCAGAATGCAAATGTAGGTGTACTGTAATGCATTGAAGACAGGTATGGCATTGAACATGGGCATGGCACTGAAGTGTGCCTGGTGATTGACTGGAACTTGAGTATGTCCCCTGGGAAATGTAGTGGTACTGTAGGCACACAGTTCTCACTCAGCTAAGGTTTCAGTTTGTGTATTAAACATTTTTTACTTTTGGTATACTTCCTGCAAGGAAGGCATTAGTTTTTCAAATGAGGATTCAAAGCGCTGAGACCTCAGCTCAGACTCAGAATAGGCTCAGCAAAGGCCTCACAAAGGACCATGAACCTTTTTGGAGAAACTGAGTTTGTTTGCAGTGAGCTTAGGTTGAGAAAATGAGAAAGTCATGGTTCTGGTGCAGAACAGGGACAGCACAGGAATAGTTTCTTCTGGGAAAAAAAAAGTCCTGCTAACTACAGCAGTGGAGCTAGGCTTTTCAAAACGTATGTTGTCTGAGGTGTTGCTGATGCCTAGGCTCTGTCTAGATATGCAGGGTAGTGCCCTGAAGGTACTTAGCTGAGCTGACTCTGGAAGATCTAGCCTTGGTAGCAGAAAGCGTCTCCCTACAGCGGCTGAGATCGAGCTTGCATGCAGCGCTGCAATCCCAACCTTCCACCTGGACACAATTAATTTGGAGGGTTTATATGTAGTACTATGTAGACGTGCCTATAGAGCCAAAAAGTCTCAGAAAGCTGCCTGGTAGAATAAAGTTTTAAAGCAAGGACCTGAGGTTATTGTGCATAGAGGGATTCCCTCCAGCTTAATTAAGAGTTTCTGCTGATACAGATAGATGTACTGAGATTTTGCTGGCTCTGGAAGCAATACTTAAAAAAAGAAATGTGTACAGTCTTAAGTCTAGTCTACGTTGTTGCTGGGAAAAGGAGGGATAGTCAAGTCATAGGAATTGGGAGTGATATTATGGTCAAGAGCTGTAAAGGGAGATGTTTCCTGCCATCCAAGCCATCCATTCAGGTAGACAGTACTGGAAGGCCTTGCAGGACTGTTTCTTCCTCTCTGCATTTAAAATAAGGATGCAGAAGGCGTATTCTTACACATCAGAGTGAGACAAAAGATGTTTGCTATTTATGGATATTTTGCAGCAGCAAACCCAAAGTTTTTCAAGAAATGAAGTGCCATGGCTGAAAAAAACCCAACCTACCTCCAAACCCATAAAATCTTTTGGATTGACAACTGTAGTTTCTTCAGAGTGAGCTCAGATAACCTCTTCTAGCTAAGTACTGAGAGGAAGAGGAAAAGGAGAAGTGAAAGGTTTTCTAATGTCTACCCTAGCTTGTGTAATTAGTAGAAGGGATAATTTGCTGGTTACTCAGCTGAATGATATACCAGCAATAGCAACATGGCATTAATAACTTGGGAGGAACAGGAAAGAGTTTGTACTTGAGTGAATGTTCCTCTCCCAGCGAGAAGCATCTGAGTCACCAAAAAAAATCAATCACTGAGATCAGGCAGCCAGGTGGTAGCTTTTGTCTTTTTGCTTTTTTGTTAAATAGCAAGATGAATTAAGGGGTGGTTGATCTCTTTAGATGTCTGGGGCTTTGGATGGATTGTGTCCCAATGTTTATATTAGTTCTGTCTAGTTATTTTATAAAACTTTGTTTATCTGGCAGGAAGAATGGAGCAGCATTTTACACATGTAATGCCAAGCCTACAACTGAATCAAATGGCATGTGTGCAAAATAAACAGGCATTCAGGAGTAACTGCTTGGTTAGTTGCGGTGACTTTGTAGCAGACAAAACCACCAGAAGACGGAGCAAAGTGAAGCCAGGGGAGGTTTAGATTGGATGTAAGGAAAAATTTCTTTACTGAAAGAGTGGTTAAACATTGGAACAGGCTGCCCAGGGAAGTGGTTGAGTCCCCATCCCTGGAGGTATTTAAAAGACATGTAGATGAGGCGCTTAGGGACATGGTTTAGTGGGCATGGTGGTGTTGGGT